GTGCTCTTGGAAAGGTGCTCTAAAAGTGCTCTTGGAGTGTTCTTGGAAAAGTTCTCTGAAAGTGCTTTTGGAGTGCTTTTGGAGTAGTGCTTTTGGAGTGCTCTTGGAATGGTTCTCTTGGAATGGTGATCTTGGAGTACTCTTGGAATGGTGCTCTTGGAGTGCTCTTGGAGTGGTGCTCTTGGAATTGGAATGGTGCTGTGAGAGGGTTCTGAGGGTTCTTTGGAGGGGTGCTCTGACAGGGTTTTTAGGAGGGGTGTTCTTGGAGGGTTTTTGGAGGGGGTGTTCCTGAAGGGCTTTTGGAGGGGTGTTCTTGGATGGAAAAGGGCTTTCGGAGGTATCACAAGGGTGCCTTGGCGCACCATATAACTAGCTGGTCCTTTCAGGGTTTTTACGTTTTTCTCGGGTTTTGTTGAAGGTTGGAGGTTGTGCTGGGGTTCTTGGTATTGCCGCAGCATGTGACTGTCAGAGTCATTGAGCGACCGCCTACCTCATTGTCATTGTCATCTTCTTCGTGGCCATCAGCCGGATCCTCATCTCAGGGTTAAGCTAAGACTTAGGATTTAGTAGGTGTATACACAGGGTCAATAAATCATTGTCATTTGTTTACTAGCCCAAAAATTACATACCTCAAGCCTAAATGTTTTGTCCCAAGCTCCAGCCGCATGAAGTTCGCAACTCAGGCCAACAAGCTCGCCAGAGAAATTGCGTCAATGTCCCTTGGCCAGTGGCCCAGCGATGCAAATCTCAGCTGCTGATGCGCTGGGGGTTGCTCATGGCATGTGCGCTGAACTGACCAACGTCACATTGCCATCTTTCATTCTCGTGATTCTTGCGCTGCAGTCACTGGATCCAAGCAGTCATAGATTAGTGTCATTGCCTCAGCCTCTCACGGAGATGGATCTCCTTGCCGTGGCCCCGGACAATTTCAACACAGAGCGCTTGCTCTTGAAGAGCCTGGTGTTGTATGACACCGAGTTGCAAGCAATGCTGGTCCTCGGCTTTACTCTAGCAAGCCTATTGTTTTCTCCATGTTAGGTGCCTTGCAAATGCAATATC